ATTCAATATTTGTTTAACAAATGCCTCACTAGATTTCTTGGCAAATATTTTAACACAGTTGACCCAGATGTCCCTGTTGCGTGAAAAAAAGACGCAATACAGTCGTTGATTAATTCAATGGTAAATGATATAGTAGTCGCGCGTAGCATCTGTTCATTGCAGGCGGTAGCCGCAACCAACAGTTAGTGTAAGACATCACACGTTCCTTTTTGTGGGGAAATGAATAAACACTGCACAAGTCACCACCGCTTGCAGCAATCTGCTGCGGGCATACAGTGGACATGTGAAACACCACGTGAACGCAGAAGAAGGTACTATTTTCAATCAAGCGCGGTTAAGGTCCTAATGTATAGGTTGGTCATAGGCATCGACTCCCTGCGCTCGCAGTAATAAATACGAACGGACCGCCCATCGATTTGTAGGGAAAAAACAAAACGAAGGAATATTTAGTTTCCAGTACTGTCTTCCGGCTATGCAAATAGGCCCGTATGCAACCACCGTTTGAAGTTGGAGGATAGTTTGGTAAATATAAGAGATAGCAAATTTCACGCCTCACATCTTCAATCTGGCACAGGCTGTACTATCTGCGTCAACACAAACCGGCTAATTGACGCAAGTCAAATAAACTATCACTATTCCACATCCAGCAAACTGGAGACTAAATGATTCCCTGTCTCTCACTCACACCAGCACAGTTATAAAATCAAGTACGTCCTCCGTGAAACCCTATTCTAAGGCACATTAAACATTAAAAATCCATGACTATATGCGTTCATTCAAATCACAGTTACGAAGACATTCAGGTGTTGCATATATTCTTTAATGTCTGAGTTTACCTAAAACAGTTCACCATATGCGTACTTTGGCAATTTATTCTGAAAATTCAGACTACTGAAGAAAATGTTGTATGAATATTACGAAGCGCAAACTTCACGGAAATGCATGACAACCGAAACATTAAGCGCAAACAAGAGTAGGATTATGAGCATCACATGAATATAGGAATTTGTAACACCTTTAAAATTACATAAGCTTTCCCTATTTTACAATAAACTGGGGAAGATGACTGGCTACACAAATGTAGGGAGACTTATGGATGGCATGATTTTTTAAGATGCAGGTGGCAAACGCCGTCTAATTTGCTCCATACAGCATGCTAGGTTCGGCAAAATAGACAATTAAACTTACCGTCAACTACGCTGTAGGTGGCGAAGTAACGTTCCTCCATATCAGCAATTCGTTCTTCGTTTTCAAGCTCCGGATAGAATTGCAGGACGGACCACCTCTCTGCATTACTATCCTTTCCAAATACGAAGAATGATTGAGGTCGTCTGTTGTGCTGGTTAAAGGGACAGGGAGTCTGTCTGTTCTTTGGCGTGCCAATCCAATTCTCAACACGAGCCATAAGCCGTCTACCACGTAAACATAAAAGGAGTGGAGCAGTATTTACTTACGAACATTCTGTGCTGTTCTGGAATATGAAGTGAGAGTCCAGTAGGCGTCCACGGAACTGTGCACTCGTTTGGTCCCACTGAATTTCCTTCAACATCATCGGCAGGTCCTCGTTCATCTTCTTATCTCCAAACTCGTTACAGTTGCTGGCCCATCGTGAAATGGCGCAAAATATATCTTCCTCTGAACCCACTACCAGGGCCTCGCTGCGGAG